CATCCTGCCTCGGAGATGTCAATAGTCTCAACCCATGGCTTGATGCCCTTCTCAGCAGCAAGCTTCAACAGCGCATCCATCTCCTGGTGGTTTCCAATGTGGCTTCCAGACATTTTGGCCGAGTTGCTGGCGAACAGGCCCGCAGGGAACTGGGGAAGCGGCTTATCCGGAAGTCCTACCATGTGAAAGTGACCACCGACGCTGAGCGTCGACAGGTAGGTCTGCAGATCAAACTCGTTGGTCATATCGGAGCAGTTCAGCATGAAGTCGAACTTGAATGCCCAGGGCTTCGCCCAGTCCTTTTCTGTCGTGTTGATGACCTCATTCGCGCCCAGCTTCTTGCAGTCTTCGGCCTTGTCGGGCGAATGCGTGAGGGCGTAGACTTCGGCGCCGAGCGCCTTAGCCCACTGCACCCCAAGGTGACCAAGGCCGCCGATGCCGACAATGGCGACTACGGAGCCCTTCCCCACACCGCCCCGGACAAGCGGGGAGTAGGTCGTCAAGCCGGCGCACATGAGCGGGGCCGCATCCTCGGACTTGAGCTTCTCGGGGATTTTGAAGGTGAAGTACTCATGAGCGCGGATGTGACTTGCGAAGCCACCATGCGCCTGGCTTCCATCCTCGTACTTTGCGTTGTATGTGTCTGATTCTTTTAGTTAGTCTCAACTTCGGGAGCGGCCGGAACATCCGTGTCAACGTACCGACGAGGTGAGGGCAGTAATTCTCGTTCTGGTGCTTGCACTGCTCGCACTTCAGGCACGCCCACACCTGGGCTCCCACGCCGACCCTGTCTCCGACCTTGATGTCCTTGACACTCTTGCCAACGGCGATCGCCTTGCCGACAACCTTGATGGCTGTTAGACCTTGCACACCCGTCTTAGATGTTCTAAATAGACTTACCTCGTGGCCGACACACAGGGGACCCTCGTATTCACCCCAGCCGCCAGTGATAGTGTGCACGTCGGATCCGCAGACACCACAGCACTCGATCTGCACGTCAATGTCGTGATCTTCGAATGGTTTCGGTGTGAGGGTCTCCTTGTTAAACTTGTTCCATGTCTTCGGACCCTGGGTGCAGAAGCCCTGGAACTTTTCGGGGTAGCTCATTTTGATTGAATTGGTGGTGGTGGTGGTATCTAGAATATTTTGAGAATGTTTGCCGATGTTCTTCGTCTCTACCATGCTTCAAAGTGCACTCTTCTTCTGCTTATATACGGCCAAATTTCGCGATGACGCTTGAATTTTCTCAGACCTGCCCGCCTCTGAGCTGATCATGCTGTGAGCTGCTCAGGTCAGGCAATAGACCTCGACCCACTGCCCGCCGCAAATTGCCCATCGGAGAACACCCATCGAAAAGTGCCATCCGATGAATGACGTCTATGAATTTCTCAATTTCTCGAGGGTCGCCCCACCGAAGCGGCGTCTCGGTCCATGCCGAGAAGGTCGCGCCAACGCAGCTCCGGGTGTGGCTCACGCCTTAGCTCCGAAGGCTTGACTTCCAGACCGCTGATAACGAGCTAGCTTCCCCCAGGGGTGTCGATCTCCTTCCCGAACGGGACGTGTCTCGAAGCCTCATGACGCCAACCTTTTTTCATCATGTTGGGTTTGACCGTGACACAGCAGAAATACGCCGAGACTTAAGCCTCAGGGAAGTCGATCCGGAGTGAAAGTCCCGATTCCACGGCATTCCGCTTACCAATGCATACTTGCACAGAGGAGTTCGATCCGTGGTACTGAGCCAATCAAATTGACGAGGTGCCTGATGCCGGACCCGCGGTGCGATCAGTTTACCCTTTGAAAAAGAGGACTGACGTACTTGGAGAGGAACAATTGCCGGGCTCTTTAGTCTACATGCGTAGCTTAGAGGCCATGACGGGACCTCATCTAAACCACGTGGACCTTTACTCCATAGGTGGTAGCGAAAAGCCAAGCAGCGTTTAGGTGAAGCGATATCAAAACATTCACCAGCGTTCTTGGGATTCAGGTCATAGGTTTTGGAGATCCTGTCTCGACCCGTTCCCAGCCCTAAAGCCAAAAGGCTCATCTATTCATGTGCCTACTCACTCATAGATCGAGAGCACGCACCGGAAGACTTGTAATACATTATCAAATACAAAGAACATAAGAAAGTCAAAGTCTGGTCACAGGAGATGCCCCTCTTTATACAATACTTTGAAAGTCCACCTACTTTACCTGACAACAAATAAGTATATGAAAATTCAGGCAACCTGAGGATATACCTAGGAGTCACCCAAAGCGCTGGACCTCTGATTCAAAGTCATGGGTTTCACTTGCCTGTAGGGCCTCAAAAGATTCCGTGGTCATTCGTCAGTCGTCAGAGCTGTTGTGATTAATTAGTGAGAGGGGTCATTGATATCCATATTAACGGCCCCATATGATCTATCAGGAAAATGGTGTAGTTTTTGACAGCGCCAACATTTTGGACTCCTCGAGGACAGCCGTCGAAGCGACTATGACAACCAGGCATTCGGAACGTGAACATGTTTCTCAAACTTGGTACGATTTATGACAGCCTTTACCAAGTAACATCACAACACTTTCATGCGCGGACTTTGGACCCAGTACTTGTCATTACCACTTCCTGTAAGGTAGACCGCATTTGAGTTCTAGACCAGGTCAATCCTGATATTCGTTCACTTTGCCAACTTGAATGGAGTTCTATGAGCTTTGCGCCTTCATTTCGAAATCATCATCAAAAGGATTTATGATAGCTCACAATGAAAACGATGAAATGCTCCGCATCGTGCTCGAGACTGGTTAGACTCGTATGTCTTGCATCTCAGCTCGCCACGTTACCACGGGCTGGCTGGCCAGCCTAAGACAGCTCCCTTGAATTTGATTCAAGGAGAGTGCCGTCCCGTAATTGGCGTCTTTTGTCTAACTGAATCACGTTGCATATCTCGAAAGTGTTTTTCATCTCTGGAGCGAGTAGGGGAATATGAGCACGAATCCTGAATCTCCCTGAGTCGTTCACGTAGGCGGTACGAGAAATCAATACAAATGCACGTGGTTTCTCGCGCGGAACACTGGATAGTTCCCAGTCGTATGCAATCAACATTTTTCAAGCCCCATCCATAACACTAGCTACCGTTTGCTCACCAAAGCCTTTGTTGGATTCTCGTCGGCCTTCGCTTTCCTTCGAATATCAATTACCCCTCCAAGCCAACATGATGCGACTCGTCAACACGGAGCCTGTCAAGGACCCCAAGACCCGACTCATGAGAGTTTTCCCTCAGGATGAGACTCCACCTTATGCTATTTTGTCCCATCGATGGAGTCCGAAAAATGTAGGGGAGGTAACCTTCCAGCATCTCGACCCTAACTCCGAATCACCGAAAGGTCCTGTCAGCTACAAGAAGATCACAGAGTTCTGTAACAAGGCCTTTGACGCCGGATTCGAGTGGGCGTGGATCGACACTTGCTGCATCAACCACGAGGACTCTCAAGAGGAGGGAAAGTCCATCAATGCAATGTATAGCTGGTATCGCAAGGCCGAAGTTTGCTACGCATATTTGGCAGATGTCACTCAGATGGGGGATATTGGGAAGAGCGATTGGTTTAAGAGAGGATGGAGGCTACAGGAACTTCTAGCACCCCGAAATCTCATTTTCTTCGACCGAAATTGGATTGACATCGGCTCGAGAGCTCTTCGGCGAGACATCATCCAGGAGACAACGAAGATCCCACCCGAAGTTCTACTCATAAAAACAACACCGACTACAGTGTAGCACAGATAATCTCGTGGGCCACGGGCAGGGAAACAAGTCGCCCCGAAGACCGCGCGTACAGTCTACTTGGTTTGCTCCGTATCACAATGGCATTGGATTACACCGAAGGAGGTGAAAAAGCCTTTGTCAGACTCCAGCAGGAAATTATTAAACGATCTACGGACCATTCTATTTTCTCTTGGACAGCCAAACTTGAAGAACCTGGCAAACTAAGGGACGCTTTTGCAAAGAGCCCAGATGAGTTTGCGTCTTGTGCAGACGTCGAGCCCAATACCACCTCTCGAGAATTCGTGCTCACTAATAACGGTCTCCGCATCCAAATGCGCATCAACGACAAGAATCCTGATATGATATGGTGGGTGCTCGATTGCACGCGCAAAGGAAAGCACGTCGCCATACCCCTCAAGCAGATTAGGGATGCTGCAGAGCGTCGCTACGGACGGCTTGGACATCGTGGTCCGGCTGATGGCGTTACTAATGTTGAAGCTGCGATTTTCAATGAAATGGAATACAGGGAGGTATATATTGCACCCACTGGACCACGCAACTTCAATCTTTCTGAGTGGATGGACGCTGGGGCGCAGTATACCTTTTTCATGGAGCCACCCATGACGCCAGGCGGCCCTCTTGTCATCGATCTGAAAGCCACTGGGAAAGGTCGATGGAAATTCGGACCCAGAGCCTGGGAACTGAAGCTGGAAGAAACAGGCCACTGTGGAGCTATGCTTTTGCAGCATCCACTTGGCGAGGATCAATTTGTGGTCATGCTGGGAGTCCACAACAATAGAGTGTGGACTAACATTGAGCCAAAGAATGGGAGTGGCGAGAGTCTTGAGGAGATATCGAACAACTACCTCGTGACTGCCAAGGACTTTCTTACTTCAGAACGGGGCAAGCCTGTTTTGAATGGCTTGGACGAGCGTGTGCAGGATCTTGGGGGAGGGAAACACGTGAGTGTGAAGATTCGGAATGGGGAAGTGAGGAGAGAGAAATGTTTCAGGGTACGAATCTCGTTCTTAGTTTATGGTTCGAAGTTGTAGAAGGACCATCGTTCGTTCAATTGATTTAGTATCCACTCTTGACATCTTGCATGTACTCTTAAAAGAGAATCGGCTTCGATTTGAGGACTCGAATCTCTTCCGGAATGGGAGTCGAATCGTTTGGGCTTTTTCTTCACATGTACTCTTCCTGAGTGCCTTTCTCACTGCTCCTGTAAATCGCCTCAAGCATCCGGTGCCTCAGCAAAACATCCTAGAAATCAGGCACAGCACCCTCGCCCTCCCCAGCAGACGCGTCCCCAGCCCTGCCCGTGTTGAACGAAAAGTCCTTAGCCTCCTCGACCTCGATCCTCTCCAGCTTCGATCCAGCCTCAGCCTTGACAAAGCTGACCGTGGGCTGAAAGCCCTGAATATTGCCTATTGGCCCCTCCAGCACAAGTGTCCCCTTGGTACCTGTGATTTCCCAAAAGAAGTTCTTGTCAATGGCACTCATGCCGCCTTGGCGCACGGCAGTCGCTACGCCGCCGCCCGAAAGTCTTCCCGTGACGGTGCAATGATCGTGGGACGTCTGTTTGATTGTCCCCTGCTGTTTCCCTTCGCTGTCGACGAGGGGAACCACAGGCCGGTTATTCGCGAGAATACCCTGAACTCCCCTAAGCTCTCCGAGCTCGAAACAGAGGGCATCTATCGCGTGTCCGACAGAAATCGACATCAGGTTGGCCCCGTTCTCGATGTCAGTTGCGAAAACAGCGTCCGCCGGAAACGTGGCGCCGAACCAGGGACTCGTGAACGGCATCGTGGTCTGGAGTATATCGCCCAGCTCACCACCGACAACCATGTCCCTTGCCTTGAGCACCGAAGGATCATGACGGCCCTGCAGACCGACCAGCGTCCTGGCGCCCATCTCGGCCGCCAGGTTTGCGAGGTACTCGGCCTCAGCGATGTTGCGCGCGAGCGGCCACTCGGAGAAGACGGCCTTGCCGGCTTTAAGGGCCGTTTCGATGATGGGCAGGTGCGCCGGGACCTTGAGGCAGACGGCGACGAGGTCGATGTTCGGATCCGAGACGGTAGATAGGATGTCTCCGTAGGCCGCAATGTCTTCTCCAAGATTATGGATGCTCGCGGCTTTCTTTGCAGTCTCGGTGGAAGAGTTCTGGAGCGCTACGATCTTGTAGTTGGATGTCGTGGCGAAGTGAGGTAGATGTGCCGCGACGGACCACGGCCATGCTCTAGAAGCAAGTCAGCATGTTTTCTTCCTTCTCGATTGTCATCTAGCGACTTACGGCTGGGATGAAAGGCCTACGAAGCCGACCTTGATAGGAAAAACGATGAGATTGAAGGGTGAGGAACTGAGATAAACGTCATGATCACGATATCTTCGGTGTGAACAATCGCCTTTTATACGTTCGAACAACTGAAGACAACAATACTGCTTACAAAAATGTTTGGCGCACCATCATAAACCTGACTTTACAAACGCGGATGAAAAGGTATGGCCCGTGTGTCAAACGTTACCCTATTGCCTTACAAAGCTCTGAAAGTTACAAATGCGACGGAGCAATCGCCCTTTTGATTCCGCCTACGGCTGTTCAGACGCATCGGATCTGCGGGACGATTCGTTCTGTTTCTAAGCCTTCCCGTATCACTATACATACGAACATACGAACAGATTGTCACAGTAGCCTATGCGAAAGCAGTCAAGCATAGGTTTGGGTTAAAAATGTGTGAAGGCAGTGAACGAATGTATTCCAACTCGGCTAGCCTACAATTTTCCCATACTGCTCGCACCCAGGCCCGTCTACCATTCTATGTGCCCTAGTCTTACCTTTAAAGAGCGTCATGAACGCGCCGAACGAGTGACGGAAAACCAAATCTCAGCCCATCCAGAGACGATGGCTCCACTCAGAGCTCGTTCTCCTTCTTGCGGGCATCGATAACAGCCAACGCCTCCTCGGCGGCCTTGACACCCGAGAGAGCCATGGCGCCAAAGGTAGGACCTTTATCAAAGTCAGCAACGCTCATAAACATCCACCGTGGCGGATAAGAACTCACCCATGCGGTTCGCCCCGTCAACCTCCGAGAGCTCCATGCCACCCACAATCAACCCCTTCACAATCTCCCTCGTCCCCTTCACGATCGCGTCCTCGGCCTCCTTCATATCCAGCCCGCGCATTCCGCCGAGCTGTTCAATCTGCTTCATGCTCACGAGCCTCTTCACAGAGAACGCGCCAAACGGCCCGTCGTGGCCCGTCGTCGAGATCACGAGCGGCGCGTTGATCGTGTTCGGGTCCATGCAGCTCTGGTCGTCATGGTGCATGCTCACCAGCGTCCAGTTCGTCACCACACCAGCAACCCTCACGCTGCCGTCCGCCTCCTTGCGCGTGATCAGGTCCTCGACCGCCGTCGCGTTGAACAGCTTCACGTTCGGGAACTGCAGCACGCGGCTGAGCACCGTCGACGTGAACAGCGCGGCGTGCTTCACCACCACGAAGTCGCCCTCGTCGTCGTACGCGACGCCGAGCTCATCCAGGAACACGTCCGCCGGCTTGCGCATGACCATGGCGCTGAAGAGCTGGCCGCCGAGCCACGCGCCGCCGCCGGGCGACACGCCCGCCTCGACGATGGCGATCTTGAGGTCCGGGCGCGCCTTGGCGAGCACGTAGGCCGTGGACAGCCCGCAGGAGCCCGCGCCGACGATGACAATGTCCGACTCGGCGTAGGTGTCGAGGTCGGCGAAGTAGCGCCGCGTCATGGCGCGCGAGACCTGCGACTCGCGGATGGGCGCGAAGGTGAAGGTGTCCCACTTGCCGAACATGTCCTCGACCTTGGTCTTGGCCTCGGCGGCGGCGGCGGCGGGGACGGCGGGGGCGGACTTGCCGGTGGAGTAGGTGACGGCGAAGTCGCGGACGGGGGAGATGGCAGTCGGAGGAGCCATTGTTGTTGTCTTGGTAGTACTTCGAGCGCGAAGTTGTGTGTGTGTGTGATCTGCTTGTGTTAGGGTGCATGATCCTTTCGCTGGTATTACCCAGATCAAGTTCAAGGCCGTATGTTCTCAGCCCAGGCCCTTCACCCGCGCCGGTCGCTGGCGGCACCATGAGATGGCAGCGACATAGGCAGGGCAAGAGACTGGGCACCGGCTCATGCGTTTTGCGTTCCAGAGGTCACATACTCTAGATTGTATGGCTCTAGTAAAGCCTTCTCTGTGGGTGTGTCAGCTGTACCGCATCATCGATATTACCAGGAGGGGCATACTGATTGTGTGTCTGTTGCGTCTAGTACTTCGGGAGAACCTCAGATGAGAGACAATTTGCGTATACTGGTGCCGACGACATTGGGGAGATGATCTTCTAGTTAAATACACCTTCGATAAGCCCGCTCGAAAACCTTGCCCTATCTCCTGCGGGGTAAAAGCAATAGTCAACATCATCCTCACATCACGCCCAGCTTCTCCCGCCGCCCATTGGGTTCACCATTGGGGAAGCGGGCGTGATCGGCTGCGTGGAATATGCAACCCCGCGACCAAACAAAGTAGAAGCAAGCTACGCAGCACGTCTCGCCCGCTCGTGCCTTCGCGCTCGTGTAATTCAGCGGGCAAATACATCACAATAGTGGGGGTTCCCTCGCCCCGTCGCCCAACAATTGTGCCGGAAACCAACGGAGCCCCTCCCGAAAGCCGATGTCACCCGCTCCCACGCCGCAACACCCGTCGACGGCCGGGATCGCTGCATGGCCGCGCGCCGACGATCCCCCGCGCGGCGGCTGGGGGCGACCCTGTGTCTCCAGAGAAGAAAACAACTCATCGTCGTTGCTCGTGAAATGTCAACCTCTGCTCGCGGAGCTGCCCGTTCAGGCAGTATGGCTTTATCCATCGTTTGCCAGTATGTCTGTTTCCCGTACCGACCGCATCGGCGAAGCATCCTTTTCGCCGCCGAACCCGGACGCACGCACGGTTCTGCTTACCTCTAGAGAAATAGTGTTCGGTCATTTTTACGTTTGCGCAACGATCACGTACAGTAAGAAATTCGCGCATATTGACTGACATCCGCCTCTATTGAGTTCCTCAAGACTTTCCCCAAGGTTTGCTGCCAACTTGGCAGGACGACATGATTGGAGGGGTAAAGGTGAGGTTGAATGGAACCACTTACGAATGCTATCTCTGTGAGTGGTGGGAAGCAATGGGTGCGGGGGGTTGACACGGTTGACGCACGCGTCATTTAGAAGCATGCGCTTCGTTGTTCATCAGACATTATCATTATCGGTGTGAGTAGTCACTAGGTGTTGTGGCATGTCACACACGATTGGCGTGACGCTGACCTCACGATGGACGCATTTGATGCTCATTAAATCATTCTTACATGCCTATCTCATGTACTTTAGACGGGGCGGCACACCCTACGCCATAGCTATGTTCCATATGCCACGCCAGCAGAGCAACGTCCAAAGACGCCAATGGCCTGCCCAGTTCTGGTCGATCTATCGTGTAAGATCGTCGTATGCTCCCAATGCGTCAAAACGCCATGCATTACCGCGCCTTCGCAATCATCCCCGAGTAATCTCGACAGCTCGTCGTCACCGCGAACCCCTTCCCCTGACGGTACTCCTCCCCAGTGCTCAACATCAAGAACCCTCCTCTGCGACAGCCGACGTCTTCGCTCTTGACGGTCGAAGGCGTTGCAGGGCCAGTGGTACTTCCATCGGTCTCCGAGCCCGTGCAATCTGAAAGCCCGTCGTTGGACATGTCCGCCGCCATCGTCTCCCAAAACCTCTGTGCAGGGCTTTCCGCCAGCTGGCTCAGCTCCTTCAACGCGCTGCCATGCCCACGATCGTACCACGCAATGAGGTACCACCTCCTCGGCGCCAGAAACATGACTTCGCACCAAAGTACGAAGATCATGAGAGCCATGGGCTCTTTGAACCGTAGCAGAGACAGGTACTGTTCTGACACGAGCGATGGCCAAAGGATGAAGTGTTTCCATATCCGCGGCCGTCCTGGAAGCGAGCTCATCCAAGACTTCAGCGCTACAAGGGCGCTGAGGTAGACCTTGGTGTCATCTTCTGGCATCCCTGTTGCTTCTGACCCGAGGGACATAAAGTCAATGAAGCGGGCAATCTTTTGTAATGACGGCCGTAGGGCAATGTCGCTGCTGTCGCGCCATTCTTTGATATCGACCTGCGCTAGCTTGTCGCGTATCGGACTCTTGAAGACGTGCGGTGTTACCGTGTCGGAGAACTTCGCTGCCACCCGCATGACGTTTAGAGCTTTGGCCGGCTCGAACGAGTTCACCTGCCCCATGACTTTCTCGTCCGCAAAGGGCCTGTAGTACCCAAAGATTCCGTTGCACATCGCAAAGACGAATGTCGCGAGCCAGTTCTCTTCTGTGACCTCCGGGACGGCCAGTCGAAAGTAGTTACTTGCTTGGATGGCGTGCTGGCAGGCCATAGAGTAGTATCGCTTCATCTCTGGCGGCTCGAGGTGGCAGAGATGAAGAGCTGCGATCGACAGCATGCTCTGATGTATGAAAACATTTCGAGATGCCAGCTGTGGCACCCATCGTGACCAGACGTCGCATTTCCTAGGGTCGCTCTGCAGGGAGAAGGTGAACCAGGCTTGTGTCAGGAAGTGATGCTTGAGTTCAGCCTCGTCGGCGCGTAGCTTCTCGGCAGGTAATGAGGCGTTGAGGGCGTCTCTTGAAGAAGCATGAGCAGCAACGGTCGCCGCACGGCGGACCATGCTCAAGGTATCGCCGGTCTTGTCTCCGCCATTTTCCCGGTTGAGGGCGTCTGCAAGAAGACCCAAGTAGCTGCAGTGCTCTTGCCTACGACGACAGTTGGCGCAGACGGGTCCGACACAGTCGCACTACGTAACACAGTGGTCAGCATCTTCAAGTGGATTATGGATATTGTACGTGATAGAAGGAGGCTTCGGTATGACGAGACCATGTCTTGTTCGTGTAGCCGTCCTCGTGAGTGGCCAAGGCAAGATCGAATAACCCGGGATGTGTGCATACATGTAGCCAATTCGGCGCCAAGTACTAGAACAAGCTCCAGAGCACACCGCGGATTTGCAGATGAGGCCTGAAGGATTTTGAACTGGGATGCAGGTCATCCTCACCTTGACACGACGCTTCTTACACTGTCGACACCCGTTCTTCGTCTTCCCGTGATATTGTCTTGAACCCTTCGGCATTCTATCGTCACATACGTTCGTTTTTGCGGCGCAACGCTCCAGATCTTTCTCTTCTTCCCTCGGTTGGGTCGGCAATCGTGGACGTAAGCGGTACCCGATGGATGTCGGGAGCGGGAGAGCGACACGTCTAGCGGCTTGGTGTGGGCTTGCTCCCTGCTTTTAAACCGATCCATACAGTTTGATGTACGAAACATGAAAACTTGGGAGATGCTTGACGTTGTCAGGGATGTGTGACCTTTCTGACGCAAACTCAACTGTGGTGGTGGCACG